GTTCCTTTACAAAGAATGTTTGATTTCGATGGCACAGTGGAAATAGAATGCTGTGGAGAGAGACCTTGTCTTTGAAGCACTCAGTAATGGGGAAGGATTACAGAAACTGGAGATCGTCAGCTTTAAAAGTGGGGGAGGCGGGGTGGGTAATCTAATTCAGGCCCTTATTTTATCATCAAAGATGTTAAATTCCACTGGTAAGGCATACGATAGCAATGTGTGCCAGAATGTGGAAAATAGGTGTTATTTCACTGTCTGACAGTGCTCTCTATCAGTTCGACTGTGTCCTCTTTCTGTCCAACTATACTGTTTATCCATATGACTGCTCCATCAGTCTGTACCCTCTTTTCTTCTGACAGTGCTCTCTGTCAGTCTGACTATACCCTCTATCAGTCTGTTTACTCCATCAGTCTTTTTGTCATCTCTCTAACAGTCTACCCATGTCTTCCCTTTCACTGTCTGTTCTCTCTATCACTCTGTGTCCTGTGTCACGTTTGTCTAATTTCTCTCTCTAGGTCTGTCTGTAATCTCTGTATTGGTCTGTTAATGTTCTCTCTATCACAGTCTGGCTGTGACTTCTCTGTTACAGTTTGCTTTCTCTGTTGATCAGCTCTATTCTCTCTGTCACAGTCTGTTCTCTTTATCATTCTGATTCTGTTCTTTCTGTTACAGTTTCAGAACAGCACAGATTCCAGGAGCATGAGGCGCAAACACCGGAATTCAATAAGGATTCCATTTAAATTGTCCACGAGCTCTCTCTGCATTCCAACGCTGCACCATGCCCGCCCCCGACCACCCCCACCCAACCAACACCCCCACCCAACCAACACCCCCACTCCAACCAACACCCCCACCCAACCAACAGCCCCACCCAACCAACACCCCCACCCAAACAACACCACCACCCAACCAACACCACCACCCAACCAACACCACCACCCAACCAACACCCCCACCCCATGTGTCAGACTGGGCTTGGTGTTAGAAAATTTGTCCTCAATAAAATTGGACACTCGGGCCCAGAGAGTACAGACAGGATGCACTGAATGGCCTCCTTCTGCATGATAACAAGGTCTATGATTCTGTGAAGCTCACTCTACAGAATTAAGCATATAATTTATTGTTATGATCCCAGCTGGAGGTTACATTGGACAATCAGATTGCGGAGTCATCTGGCTCATGACTTTATGACACCCATGTCAGGTAGTGATAGTGAGCTGAGTTAGTAGCTTGCTTTAAGCTGTCAGAGACGAATGTTAGTTGAAGCAAATAACAGTGAGTGAATGCACCAAACTTTGCCAAAAGGAAGCCTTTTACAGCCATGTCAGCTGAGTAAGTTTTTAATTTTCCTTTTTGTTTACTGTAGTGGCGAGTCATCAAACAAATTCACAAGAGGCTGCCAATGTACTCTCAACAAAAGAACATAAACGTTTATCTCACAAAAGAGAAAATTAAACACACCTATGTTAAACAATATAAGAATTTATTTGAAACAGTCTCATTTCAATTATGAGAAAGAAAGTTTAACTTTTTTTTAACTACAACGATAAGTCTAACATTTTTTAACTACAACAATAGCCGTAAAGACACTCAAACCTCAGTGACACGTTGCCCCGAACTCCCTCTGAAGTTCTTTGCTCCTGGGGCAGGGTAGCAAAGACAAGGTCTGTGACAAGAGAGGAGTGCATCAATAACGAGAGAGTGATGGTGCAGGGTCAATGGGAGTGATAAAAGAACAAGCCAAAGAAACAAATGGTGTGTCTAGAGAAGGTGTGAAGGGTGGAATAATGAACAGTTTCTATCCAAAAGGAATCACGTAAGAAAAATGTAAGGAAAACCCATACCGAGAAAGGGAAATGGAGGCAAAGATTACAGTCTGAGATTGTTATACTGAATGTTGAGTTTGTAAGGTTGTAAAGTCCTGAATTGAAAGATGAAGTGCTGTTCCTTAAGCTTATTTTTACATCTCTTTAGTAGACTGCAGGAGGCCCAGGACAGAACAGAATCGTACAGCACACATATAGATCATTTGGTCCATTGTTACTGTGCCAGTTTTGAAGGAGCCATTCAATTACTTTCATTCCCTATAGCCCAGTAAATTTGTTCACCAACTTGTTCCCCTTCAAGTCTAAATCTAACTCCCTTTTGGAAATGAGCTGTTGGGTCGACCTCTACGACTGCTCTAAGGAGCAATATTCCAGATGGTAGAGTCTCCTCCCACCCTGGTTATAGTCACTTCCACCCTCTTCCATTGGCACAAGATATAAAAGTTTGAAAACACATACAAATAGATTCAAAAACAGCTTCTTCCCCGCTGTTATTAGACTTGTGAATGGACCCCTCGGATTTTAACTTTAATGTTGGTCTTGCTGTCTGTGCACCTTCTCTGCAGCCGTAATATTGTATTCCTCCTTTATCCTAATGCAATTTATATGGAATGATCTGCCTGTACTGCAAGCAAAACAAAACTTTTCACTGTACCTAGGTACATGTGACAAAAATAGATCAAATCAAATCAAGATTACTTGGGCAACACTTCACCCCAGCCCTCCCCCGAGAAAGGTCAGAGCTCCAGCAAAATAGAGAATTGAAATGACAAGCTTGGGTCACACTTCCAGACTGAACAGGGGCATTCCACAAAACAACCACCAATCTACGTTGGAACTTTCCATTTAAACGAGCCCCACGATGCGAGTAGTGAAGACAGTTTTATCGGGGAGGAGCATTTGGGTCTTTGGTCAGTGAGAAGGATGGAAGTATAAGGGTAGGTGTTGTATCCCCTGTGCTTCCAGGGAAAGGAATGTTATCAGTTTATTAATTATTTGGTCTAGATACAGGTGAAGGTCCATGTTTAATTGAGTACCTTGAGCGCAGAGGCAGAGACTATTGGGAAACTGGAGGATTAATAGGAAACAGACAAATGTAGTGCAACATTCAGTCTGAAAATCACTGCAGTGATGAGAACTTGTCATTTAATGCTGTTGGTACCATTGCATTGGAAAACATAAACCAGAAGATATAGGAGCAGATTTAGGCCACTCAGCCCATCAAGTTTGCTCCACCATACAATCATGGATGATATGTTCCTCAACCCTATTCTACAGCCTTCTCCCCGTGACCTTTGATCCACTTATCAATCAAGAACTTATCTATTTCTGTCCTAAATACACTCAGCGACTTAGTCTCAACAGCCCTCTATGGCAATGTTGTCCAAATATTCACCACCCTTTGGCTGAAGAAATTCTTTCTCATCTTAGTTCTAAAGGGTCCAGACCCAGAGTCCTCAACTACTCCTCATATGACAAGCCCTTCTTTCTTAGGATCATTCATGTGAATGTCCGCTGGACCCACTCCAAATCCAGCAGGTTTAACTGGGATTTTACAGCATTCTCAGCTTGTAATCACAACTGAAAATCCTTTCAGATACTGAAAAGTAAAATGTATGTTTGGTGATTTCACATTGTTTATTATGAAAAAAATCACATTTTAAAAAATGATATCCTTTTTTAAAAATAAGTTTTTATAATATTTCAAACTTTTCTTAATTCAATCGTGGGATGTAGACATTGCTGATTGACCAGCATTTATTGTCCATCCCTATTTGGCCTTGAACTTCTTGCCTTTCCAGCAGCATCAAAGTTACAGTAAATGAGTGATCTCTACTCTCAGCTCACATTGGCTGCAATTGGTTGTCAGTTATGTGTTGTCTGGCTGTGGCATCTGATCATGTTCGAAGGTGATGGTCCTCTTACTCAATGTCCTCATGATACTCAGAAATCTGCTCCCCGCTCTCCCAACTCCTCAGCCTCTATCACATCCCTTCTGTATAGCTTCAGTTGTGCAGAGCACAACTGCTGGAGTTATGTGGCACATTCTGTCCAGACTGTACTGAAAGCTGAAAACACTTGAAAATTCCTGCTCCTTACCTTAAAATCGTGTTCTCTGGTCCTCCACTGTCTATGCCCCTCAGAATTAGGTATACTTCAATTAGGTCCCCTTCAGCCCTGTTTGCTCAAAGGAAAACAACTGTTTATACTGTCTCTCTTCGACAGGAAATAGGCTTCCAGTTACTAGAACACCCTTTAATGCTCACCCTTTGCTTCCTGAAATTGACCTGATCCTGGATCTAATTTATCCCTTGGCCCTCTAAGCTCCTGAACCAGTCTCCCCTGTGAGACCTTATCGAAACTCAGAAAAACACAGACATTAACTGTAGGGTCCTCCTGGACTCAGCTGGACAGCTCCTGGGTTTGATTTAATTTTGTCTTTAAGGACTCTTACTCATTTTTATAGATCCACCATAGAAAGCATCCTATCTGGATGTATCACAGCTTGGTACAGCAACTGCTCTTCCAAAGACAGCAAGAAACTGCAGATTCGTGAACACAGCCCAGTCCATCACTCAAACCAACTTTCCATCCACTGACTCCATCTATACTTCCCTCGGGAAAGCAACAAACATAATCGAAGACCCCTCCCACCCCAGTTATACTCTCTTCCACCCTCTTCTGTTGGGCAGAAGATATAAAAGTTTGAATACTCATCCGAACCGATTCAAGGACAGCTTCTTCCGCATTGCTATCAGACTTTTGAACAGACCTCTCTAATGTTAATTCTGATCTCTCTCTCTCTCTCTCTGCACCTTCTCTGCGGCTGTAACAGTGTATTCTGCACTCTGTTCTCGTACCCTGATACACTCTGTATGGTACAATCTGCCTGTATAGCACACAAAACAACACTTTTCACTGTATCTCGGTGCATGGGACAATAATAAATTAAATCAAAAATTTGTTCCATGTGGCCATCTACAGCTGTCATTGAGAATGTTGCTGATAGTTTGGCAGACATTGAGCTGGAGTTTATTTGTAAATGTGGACATTTCCTTTTTATCTTTTACTTTTTTTCACATTAAAGACATTTTATATTCTATGGTTTTCCCGCTTTCAGATTCACGCATGCGCAGACCCGCCGCCGGTTAACGCGCGTGCGCCGCTCCCACGGTAGGCGCCTGCGCAGTGCGGCCGGTAACGTCATTGCAAGATGGCGGCGCCCAGGAGGTGAATCAGCACCGGAAGGGTCAGGGGTCACAGGTGGGTACCGCTGTGGGGTTGGGGTTGCAGGGGCTCGGTCTCTGGGGGCGGGGGGTCACAGTCACACCCTCACCCCCGGCTCCCCTTCTTCACCCGAACCTCCCTCTTTCCGCCCCCCCCAACTCCCCCCCTCCCCCCCAACCCACCCTTCCTGTCCCTCCCCCTCCCCTCCC